AGCGGGGGCGGGGCCTGGGGCCTGCCGGGCTCCGCAGCCCCCTCACCCCCCAACCCCCGCATCGCTGCACCAGGAGGACACTGGGCCCGGGCAAGGGCAGGGACTCACGCTCCCCAGGCAGGTCCTGCTGGCTGTCCTCAGGCTGCTGGGAGACCCCCACCTTGGACAGGATGAGAGTGGCTCCGTCCCGGACCTGGGGAACAGTCATTAGGGCCGGGCTTGCTCCCGTCAGGCCCGCACTCCGCGTCCCCAGCGGTCGCCCGCCCACCCGCCCGCACTCACGTTGTAGTGCATCAGGGTGTTGATGCGTTTCCATCGCCCCTCCCGTTGAGAGGTCAGGTCCAAGTCTGATAGGATCTGGGCTGTGGACCCAGGCCGCCATTCTGTGGGAGGACACCGCCCAGCTCCTGGAGACTGGCCAGAACACCCCCCTTCCCAGGAGCCCCTCCATCCCCCCCAACCTGCCCACCCAGGGTCCCAAGGGCTGTACCCCTGGCACGGGGACTGTGCTCACCGAGGACCACACTATCAGCCTTGGGCCAGCGGGAGCAAGGCTGCGTGCGGTACACCTGGTCGATGATCTTTTCCTTGACCTGGGAGATGGTGTCACAGTTGAGGACCTTAACAGGGATGGCGTCGACCCCTTCATCCTGGACGATCACGCTCACCGTCTGCCAGGACACAGGACAAAGGGCTGGTAGGCGTGCCCTGGTCCCTACTGCACCCAGGGTGGCCGGCCTCACCCGTCATTGCACGCCCTAGCTCAGCGGACAGAGCAGGGGACAACTCGCACAGCATGTGTCCCCACACACCGCCTCTCCTGTGCATGCACTGGCTCACCACCAGTCACACCTGGTGTGCCCAGGCCCCTGGAGGCAGCTGGCTCCAAGGCCAGCATCAGGGCCCGATGTCTCTGGGCCCCTCCTGGGACCCAGGTGTGCCAGCACCGGGTGGGGGTGGGGGGTGGGCAGAGGGAAGCATCCAGCTCTGGCCCTGAGTCCAGTCCCACCACCGAGCCTGGCCAGCCCCGGGGCTCACCAGGGGCGCATACTCCACGTCGTCCCCCAGCAGCCCTGTGTCATTGAGGGTGTATTTGGCCTTCTTCTGCACGGCATCCACTGGCCCCTTCTCCACCTGATGTTTGATGGCCTTGAAGAGCTTGTACAGAGGCTCGCCGGCACTGTCCTGCAGCAAGGTGGCAGGCTCAGTCTCGGTGGGATGACTACGCCCACTCGGAGGGCCTGCCCGGGCAGGGGGACGTGTGTAGGGACCAGCACCGGCGTTCCCTTCCCCACCCCTGGCTGCCGGGCGCCCACCTTCAGGTACTGGTACAGACAGATGGACATCCAGTTGGACAGCATCCTCTCCACCACCGTCTCAGACCTGGAGAGCAGAGACCTTGTACCAGGGTACCCCAGGGTGCTGCCAGGCCGAGCTGGCTCTTCAAGCACCCAGACCACCCTCCCCATCCAGGCCCAGGGTCCCCGTTGGGACCAAACACTTGTTCCTCTTGGGGGCGCACGTAGCACCCCATCCTACAGAGGGCTGATGCTGAAGGGGGCAGCCAAGTGACCAGCAGAGACTACCTGCTGCCAGGGACACCACCCCAACTTCCTTCTTCCCTACTCAACTGCACTGGTCGGCCCTGCAGGCAAAAAGGGTACCCCAGTGAGCCCCGCCCCACCCCGCCCCTCCGCACCTGCGCAGCATCAGCTTGGGGTTCTTGGCCACCACGTACTGCTCCATGAGCTCCAGAAAGAGAGTGCGCATGATGTCGGTGTAGTACTCCAGCTTCCCGTGCAGGGCCACTGTCAGCAGCGACGCGAAGTAGACTTTGGCCCGGGCCGAAAACTCCCGCTGGTTCTCCAGGGTGTGGATGAACTGTGGGGACTGCCGGTCAGAGCCCGCGCGTGCGCAGCCGGCCCCAGCGTT